TCATTAGACCGCGGATATTTATGCATATTTGCGTAAAATTTAAACGTATAAAAATCTGCAAAATGCAAAAAAAAAAAAAAAAATATTTAAAATACGATAGAGATTATTTGAGGAATAAAAAAAAAATATTCGTTGAACTCCGTTTCTTTGATTACATTTATAAGAATGATTTGATTTTGCATAAAAATCCGCAGTCTGATTATCATTAACACGTGAAATGAGGCGATCAAAATAATAATTGTCCAAAATCGAAGGGAAAAACTAAACGTTCTTGAATGGGAGAATAAGTGCGCGGTATCTAGTAAGAAAATAGCGAGATAGAAGAAATAAATATATATATATATATTATACATATATATATATACCTGTAATTTTAAGGTGTAAATAACGTGTACATAGCTAAACGTAACGTAAGCCAAAGATTATAAAGCGATTGAAGTTTTTTTACTATTGAAAAAAACTGGGATCACATGTTGCACAGATGAATCCCATGAAATTGTTTAAAAAAAAATCATTGTAACGCGACGATGGTCGATAGATGAGATTCATGAAGTGAATGTCATTTCATTTATCAATGACAACGAACTGGTCGAGATAATTTCGTTCGAAATTGTTTCGTAAAATAAATATAATAAATATATAATGTATCATTTTTGTTTAATTTTCATTATTGAGATTTTAATTCGTCATCTATTTTTTTACATATAATATAAATTTCTACGTTTGCGTGTAAAATTTTAATCGATGTTTAAATTAATATTACGAATATACAGTCGAATCTTAATTCGAATCTCAAAGATACAATTAAAATTCTCGAATTTTTGTGAATTCATGGCTTATTTTTGAATAAAAGAAAAATTCAAGAAACAAAAATTTGATATATAGAGATATTGTGCAAGAAACAATTATAATAATTGAAAAGAAAATTTAATTATGATTATGTTATTATAGAGATAAAATACATCTCAATAAATATATATAGCAAATAAGTTCAAGTTATAAAAAATTTAAATTTCGATTTACAAAGATTTTCATAGTGAAGTGAAAGAAAATTAAAAAAAATTTATTGAAAAATTAAAGATAATTTTATTGAAATTTTCGAGTTATAGAGATTCGATTGTAATATTTTCAAGTTTTTATACACGAATAATTCAAGGAGAAAAAGATCCACTTTAATAATTGTACAGTAAACGATGGTTCATTGGATAAGATTTGTCTGAAAGTTTATCTAATAATTAGACCGCGGATTTTTATGCAATTGAAATAAGATATTTTGATATTCAAACTCTAATATATACAAAATATATCTTATTATTCAAAATGTACATTAAGTTTATGCGTATAAAAAAATTTTCTCATAATTAACTAAACTATTATTATTCATCTGAAAAAATTATTCAAAATTTTCAGATATTAAATCGTAATCAAAAAATTTTATTTAAAATATGATTTTAAAAATTTATTTACAATATTCAATTATACTCCAATACGTAAAATATAAAATAAAATGCAATACGAAAAATATGTATCGGCATAAAAATCTGCAGTCTGCCAATAATTATTCCTCGCGACATAATTTCTGTATTTAAGTTGATTCGACGATTAATTATAATTCACGTATCGTATATTTTCATTCACGCAACAAAAATATATATATGTAAACGTTAACGGGTCTCGTTTAACTATATAATCCTAGAATAAAATCGCAATGCTGCAGACGATAATTCGCTAAGTGAGATCATTGGTTATCGTGGCCTTCGCCTGGAACTTATACTATATAAAAGGTTTTTTCCAGCGTCAAAAAAAAAAAAAGGAAGAAAGAAAAAAGAAAAGAAAAAAAAAATTAATAACGTGGCGTGTCACCGACGAAAGAAAAATCGACGCAGATTCAAATCGTTCCTCGAAGCACAATTTATACAGGATTTAAAGGGAGTGCTCGAAAGGATGGAATACGGGCTTGCTTGTTTGCCCGTAACTCGATCGATATTTAAATAAAACTGCATATACTTCGAAAAACGATCGTTATGCGGGTGTTACGAGAGGATTTTAGTGTCGAAACTTTGCAAATTTTGTATATAATTTCGTTTAACGAAATTCGAAAATTGTTTTCATTCGAATTTTTCTCGAGTATCCTCGAGACATTTGATTCAATTCATTTGCAATTCAAGATAGTAATGTAATGTAATCTCTGATTGGTTTTTCAAGAAAAATAAATTTTTCTCAGATGTTCTTAAATTGATTTAATTAAAAAAAAAATTTATTAAATACTAAATTAATAAATTTTACTAATGAAAATAATAAAAGCGAATATTATGAATAATATATAATGAATAAGAGATACACTAATTTATATATATAATTATTCTGATATATTTTATTAATCTGTAATATTTCCTTATTTAAAATATTAAGATTTTTTTAACATCTTTTTCTATTGTAAAATTTAAGTTTATGAAAAGTAAAGATTCGACGATGATAAACAAGCGTTGATTAGGCAAAATGTCAAAGAAACGTTTCTCTAGAAGGCTTGAAAGCTTCTAATAAAAAAAAAAAAAAAAAAAATGCCATGGAATTAAATAAACCAATCGAAGCTCATTAGAAGTATCGTACCATTGTTAAGTAAACGGGGGAAAAATAATTATTATTATTATTAAAGTTAAGGAAGAGCGGATAAATTGAATTTTAAATGTATGTATACACATTTTCAACATAATAATAAGACATCGCATTTTAACTTAAAAAGATTCGAATTTCCATATCTGATACCATAAAATGGATTAAAATGGTAATACATCGATTAATTCCTCATTTTTACGTGTACTCGTATGTTACAGTGCCAAGTAGACGAGCATAAAAATCTCATAATGACAATAAAGAACAACCAAATCGATCAGTCATCGTGAAATCTGCTCTTTTCGATTCTCTCATTTATTCAAAAAAGAAAAAAAAAAATCGAGATGTAAATTTTGGAATCATTTGTAATTCTGGAAGCGACAAAAAAAAATTGTAAAATCATTTTAAGAAGATATTCAACGGATGGATATAAAAATAATTTGTCGCTACCAGAAATTTTAATCGAATTTATCTTTCTTCGTTGTAAGTTTGACAGTAAAATGATCATTTCAATCGACACCCGCGTCCCGATCTTTGACCAGAGACACTTGACACACGTTTTAATGCGTAACATTTAATAAAAAGGTAGCTTAAAAAAAACAAAAAAAAAAATTCCATAAATTGAGAAATATTAGCGACTTAGGCTAAGATGAGTAAAAGATATGATTACATTATAACGATAATTAATAGTAAAGAAAAAATGTACTGTATAGCAATAGTGCTATTTAAAAATGAAAGAAAAGATAACAAGCAGAAAATAAATAAGGATGAAAATTATCCGAATATTGGACTACTATCGTTAGATACAACTACTATGTATATCGTTTGTTAAATATGTACCTATAAATTATTGACGACCGTCGTTCTAAGACTACACGATGTAAGAACGAGAATTCTTGTTGCTTGGTTTTGTAATCATGCTTGATAAAAGCATTCGAAGAATAAAACTTGTTGTCGTAGAAAAAATCCTTTTTCGATTATTCTTTTAAGAACCTATTCATTCCTTGATAGAGAGAAAGATTATATTTATTATGTATTATCTTGATGGTAAGTTGGTCCTCTTATGATTTTTATATTTATAACAAAGTCAATGAAACGAAGAAAGGAAAATTTATTTTGTATTAATCCTTTGTAAACAAATTTTAAAAAATAAAATATTGTAATGAAATATAGTAAATTAATTAAAAATAGATTGATAGATTGTTTAATTTTCAAAATAAGATTAATAGTTTCATTTTTAATGGAATACTATATCTCAATAAGTCTTTTGTTAGTAATATTACCATAATTGTAATAATTTTAAAATCCATGTAAAAATTATTTTGAATGTTTTTAATATTTTAAAATTTTTTCATTGCCTCAATAAGATAATTATTTTTGTTAAAAAAAAAATAGAAAAAAGAAATTTCAAATAGATATTTGAAAGTACATACATCATACAATTGAAAAATTCCAATATGTTAAAAAATATTTATGGATATATTTAAATAATTTTTTTTTACATTATCTAGTAAAATATTCTTTTTTAAAAATATTTTTCTTGTAAGTTTCAATATTCTCTAAATTTCACATTCACTTATATTTATTTATTATATTTATTTGTTTCTTCTTATTTATGAATGTTTCTTCTTATTTATATAATAATTAATTATAAAGAATGAGGATTATAGCATTTATTTTAAGAAATATCGAATATTGAAAAATAGTAAAACATTTAATGATTGGAAAAGAAATATAATTTCCATATAATTTTCATATATGAATATTTCAAATATTATTTTTTTTCATAGCAGTATATCTACTATCCATAAATGATAAATGTATTAGAATACATTTCGTTATTTATATTAATTTATTATATTTAATATTAATTTAAATAAAATTTTCAACATGTATCATTCAAATTTAACTATATAATATATACATATGTTATTATGCAAAAGAATGAAGACAATTAATCTTTTTCACAATTTTCTTTAAGTATGCTCTTTTATACATTTTCATAATTATATTTTGAAATAAAAAATTAATAATAGATAAAAAAAACAAAAAGTTCAATATCGTTTCATGCTTAAAGTTATGTATATGCAATGTAGTATTTTATTATCATTAAATAACTAAACAATAAACATATTTATTTTAAGTAAAAGATTTTAAATTTTAATATATTCTATTCTTTTTATAAAAAAAAACATAAGAAATGTATTTTTGTCATTAATAATTGAGAAAAAATTAATGAATTATTAATAATAAGAAAAAATTTTTAATTTTGAAAATAAATACTTGAAAAATATTTTTAAAAAATATGTAAATCTAAGAAGATCTAATTACATTACAACAATACAATAAACATGACTATAAGTCTTTCAAAAACTATTTGTTTGAGCTTTACGAAATAAAATTCTTGGAAATATTTATTTTCGTATTTTACGCAGTACTGTTCATACAATTAAACTGGAATTTTTTTGCATTTCTTCTTTTAATATATTTTCAATTTGAGGTAAAGAATTCTTGAACCATATTCTTACAAAATTTCCATTTGCTTCGACAAGCGCAGCAGCGTATCTCGTTCCCTTCATACTGTCGTAATGGTTCTCTCTGAATATTTGAAGCTAAAATAATAACAAATGCATTATAATATACATGCGTTCATATATAGTGTTAATACATTTGTGAATCATCTTTGAAGCATTGTTTCTGGCGGTCAAAACAAAAAAATCTTTATACATCTAAAATTTATACAACTAATAAATATAAAATTAAATCCCTATATATCTTACATTGTAACATCAGATTATATTCATTCAAAATCACAAATAAAACTTCAACTTTTTATACAAAAATTATGAGAAAAAAATTTGTTATTAAAATCCACTCAGAAGATAAAAAAAACTGTTAAAGTCACTTTTTGTTTTATTCCGATATCACAATCCATTAGCGAGATATAAGCACTCAAAGTGTCATAGTATTTAAAAACCATCTAGAGATTATAAATGGGTCCATGATCCAATGATCTACATTTTTTTCCTGGAAACGAATACTACTTCCAAGAATTGTGTCTATCGCTTGTCTGAACCTTGAGAATGGTCAGTTAAACGAGATGCGAGAAAGAGGTCCGAATAAGCAACAAGGATGAAGATAACGATCAAAAATTACACTTTTCTTTATGTGATGATATCTCGGGAATCGAAAATCGTATCGGAATAAATGAAAAAACATTTTAAAGGGTAAGATTCCACGCTTCCAATGATCTTTCATCCATTGATCGAAAATCATTATCTTTGGACTTCCAGCGATTTAAATTTTTTTCTAATTTTAATAGGATTTAATCGAGGTTTTAAGATAAATTACATAAGAGATCCAAGTGTCCGACAAGGATAGAGATAGAAAACGATTAAAAATATTATTTTCTTTACAAGATTATATCTCGGAAACCGGAAGTCGTATCGGGATAAATGAAAAAACATTTTGAAGGGCAAAGTTCCGCGCTTCTAATAGTTTTTTATTCATTGACAGAAAATTATTAAATCGAAATTATAGAGGTTTAAATTTTTCTTAATTTTAATAGTGTATAATAACGTATAATCGAATTTTAAGGTAAATTATAGAATAAATATATTTATTTCTGAAAGAATATTATTTATAGTGATCTTATTAATAATATTAGAAGTTTAATATTGATTTAAAAAGTACTTGCTTGAAGAAATAAAATATCGTTATTTTAATCGATTGGTTTCGATATTAATTATATTAAATAATCAAACAATTTTTTAATTTTTGGATATCTGTAACCGAATATACAATATTTATATAATTTATAAAATATATAAAGTGCGCCAAATTCTTATATGTAACATAAAAAATATTTTCATGAAAATCCACAGTCTATCTATAATTTAATAAATAAATATGAACTAATATTTTTGTATAGAAAGTTTTGTGTTTCTTAAAAATAACGTCTCAAAGTATTAACACTCTATATAAAAGATATATATGGTGAAAGTATTAAAAATTTCTTACGTCCTCCAAATCCTGTTCGGTAGTTAATCCATTAACCATAGATAGTACGAAATATTTTAGAATCGTATAAGATCCTGAAAACCTAGATCAGAAAAGTGATTTCGTTACCACGTTCTATCTTTTACAATGAATTTTTCCACAAAAGAATCCAAAGTACCTCTGCGCAATTTCCTGCCAATTTGCTCGAACGAATCGAGATGCAACTTGAGCCGCGGCAGGATTTTGTGGAAATGCCTTTAAAATTACTGATATTTCGTCCTCTTTGAATCGTTCCGCATGAAGTATTTCGTTGAAAATACTGTTTTCCAAAAGAAAACATTATTACAAATGTCAATACAATATGATATGTGTAAAAGAAATACAAGTTATAAATTAAAATATTTTTAAATGTAATACAGTACCTTAAATATATCGTACAAATTATACGAATAAATTTTCCAAATATTCATTTATATAAGATTTTCTAAAATCAACCACGTTCCCTTATATTTTTTTGTTTTTCTATTTTACACAAATATCATAATTTTCTAGCAACAATATCTCCATGTTATTTTAATTTTAAATTTTAATTTCAAATTTTATATATTATTAACATTATTAAAATGATTAAATTAATACTATGCCAATTTATTAATGAAAACAGAGAGAGACGGACAAAGAATTTTATACAATTTCATTCGTGGAATATATATTTTGTTGTTTAATTTTTTTTTTTTTTTTTTTAGGAAATATTGCTAATGCGAAAAAAAAAAGATATACGTTAAATCTCCAACTACAACCAATTTTCAGAATTTTCCTTGCAAAACTGAAATTTTTATTTTGGAATATAAAAAAAAAAAAAATATCGAAATACTTTTATTTGTTTTCTTATCGCAAATATCGCGTTCAACGAAATGTTAAAATTATTTTTCACAATTCGAAACACGAGTATAAACATTTCTTGAAAACTTGAATAATTAACGAAATAATGATTTTATATGATATCGAGTATAAAATAAAATTGAGAAATATTGACGTTGTTTAATTACACTTGAAACTCGTTGCGACATTGTGATAATCGTATTGTCCGCGGAAATTAACACGGTTGAAAGATTAAAACGTGAATTGAATTAATTATAAAACCTATTTTTATTAAAAGACAGTTGCGATAAAATATTCTTGATTAAATAAATTGTAAATAAACGTTTTTGACAATAATAATTTAATCTTTGCTTTATTTAAAATATACTAAAGAATCCTTAATCGTAACGAATATATGTATAGCAATAAATGTTCGAAAAAGCGCTTCCAAATAAAATGGGATATTCCTTTCACATCATTTCCATTTTATGTATTCCTTTCCATTTAACCGCTTTTGTTCGTTAAAGAGCAAAAAGTTAAAAACTTACAGAGATTTGTAATGAATTTTTTTTTATCAAATTATTGAAAAAATTATAAAGGAATTCCAATCATTGCTTCAATCAAATCGAATTTTTCGAAAATTGATTCAGTTGATAAGAAAAAGAGAAAGAGAGATATTAAAATTAAGAACTGTAATTTGAATTATAAAATTATTTTCTGAATTTTTTGAAAATAATAACTAAAATTAATAATTAATAACACATTATTTTTGTCAGAAATATTTGTCAAAAAATATTGTCTTAAATTTGATAAAAAGCATTTTCTAAAAAGCATATTAATAAAACGCTGTTAATAAAACGCTGTACAAATTTATAAAAATAACTAAAGATAAAAATTATTTAATAATACAAGAATTTAAGATATCAAAAAAAAGTACACGTTTTTAAATAACATTAATAACCGTTAATTCTTAATTTAATTATTAATAAAAAAAATAAAAGAATTGAAGACGAAATCTGTGCAAACAACGTCAATACGAAAGGAAAATATCGCTTTAGAAAAGTTTTTAAACTTACGATTGTAAAATCCAAGAAGCTTGGAAACAAGAGAACGACGATAACAAACGTTTCTTTTCCTCCTCATCGACTGTGGAAAATAATTTTTCCGTGAAATAGTTCCATTCCTTTTTTGTGCCGTAACGAGCGATAGTACAATAAAACGTTTCGCGAATGTAAGAAGGGATTCTAGAACAATTCGATCCTGCTATTACAAATTGTTGATTGGTTCGAATTAGCCGAGAAAGAGATAACATTTGTAATAATTTTTCACAAATCTCACTTACATTTCTTGGATCTCGTTATTGGACTTGGCATTTTCGAAAATGTTTCTCGACCAATCTAAACATTTCGTATGCTCGAACGTGCATGCTAATTTTATAGCAATCATTGTCAAATGCGAGCCTTGCTGCAACATTGATCCTACTTCATTGTACAACGGAGACACGAATCTCACTACAAATTCCTGAAATGAACATTAATGATATCGTATATTTTTAAATAAATTATTTTAATTAACAATCATATTTAGAGAGTAACGAAAATTTTAATTTTGATAAAAGAAAGTCTATATATTATATATATATATATAATTTTGATAAAAGAAAGTAATAAATAAATAATAAAATAATAATGAAAAAGTGAACTTTTTACCTTAATTTTGATATATATATATATATAACAGTAAGATCTTTAATAATGATTAAAACTTAGATAAAAGAAAAATTGTCAAATGGAATATAAAACAACAATGTTTAATAAATATAAAAAAGATTACTATTGTAATATATTTATCCTTTTCCATCTTAAAGTTATTATTATAACATTTGTAATAATTACATACATTGAAAAACAAAAAATATTTCTACATATTCCTACATATTTTCTATTATTAATTATCTTATTATCTTATTAATACAAACTTATAAATGTTTTAACATTTTGAACTTCTTTTTTAATAGAAAATCTCATAAATAATATACTATAATATACTATTAAAATTGAAATCGATTAATATGAATCACCTGGAAATCATTGAAGATCGAAGTTTCATATAAAAGCCTATTTAATTTGAACAAGTGTCTCATAAGCGCGTTCCATGGTAAATAATGCCTCTCTTTCATTTGCATATATTTAATAAAATCGAAGGTGGTCTCGTATTTTATTAAACCTATCGCAGCTAGATTAAAAATATCGTCTATGATCGAGGCTCTTGTTTCCGGTGGGAACGATTCGTGATTTTTCGAAAAAGCCATTTTTAACAGCATCCAATTTCTTTCGTCGTAATGAACACGATAATATCCTTATGAAGCATAATAAATTTTAATAAATTTATTAAAATTATTAAATTATTAAAATTTAATAAATTTTAAGCATAAGATTTTCCATAATTATTTTAAGCAAAATTTAAAAAAAGTGAATACAATGATTAAATTGTCACGTACCAGTCTTATTTATGTTAAAAAGAATCCAAGACTCGTTGGAACCAATATCATGCAAATCGATTTTAGGCTCAGATGGAAAACATATTTTTATTGGATTCGACCAATCCCCGTCTTCATTAACGTAATTCAATGGAATATTCCAGAATTTGGAAACACTTTCTGATGGTCGATCGATTGCAAATTGTTCCTAAAACAATTATTCGATTACCACGTTTCTTACTTCAATTATTTAGAAATCTTAATTTCAATTATAATTAGATTACTAGCTGTAGCTAAAATTGCGTAAAATTCAAATACTCGAGTGATATATAGAAAATACATCGCATATATGTCATTGAAATCATGCCATTGAAGTTCCTTTTTTGTTTCATCCCGATATTTCAATTAAATACTGAAATATAAGGATTTAAACTATTCATAATTTGGTTGAAATAATGCAAATTATGAATGAGACGTAATAATTTATTTTTTTTTCCTGGAAATGAGTACTATGTCTTTTCAAGAATTACATCTGTCACTTGTCTAAACTTTGAGAATAGTCAGTTAGACAAAGAAAGAGCAACAAGGATGAAAATAGAAAACGATCAAAAATTACCCTTTTCTTTACGCGATGATATCTCGAGAAGTGGAAATCATATCGAAATAAATGAAAAAGCATTTTAAAGGGCAAGGTTCCATGCTGCCAATGATCTTTCATCCATTGATCGAAAATCATTATCTTCGGAGTTTCAGCGATTTAAATTTTTTCTAATTTTAATAGGATTTAATCGAGGTTTTAAGATAAATAGATAAATAAGAGATCCAAGTGTCCGACAAGGATAGAGATAGAAAACGATCAAAAATTATTATTTTATTTACGCGATGATATCTCGGGAACCGGAAGTCGTATTAAGATAAATGAAAAAGCATTTTAAAGGGCAAAAATTCACACTTTTAATAGCCTTTTATCCGTTAATCAGAAATTACTATTTCTGAAGTTATGACAATTTAAATTGTTTCTAATTTTAATGGAATTTTATTAGATTTAAAATAAATGATTAAAATCGTATTGGAATAATCTTCAAAGTTATATCAATTCAAAGTTGTTCTAATTTTGAATATTAATTTTAAATCAAATTTATGATAAAATATGATTGTTTGTATTCAAGGATATTTAAATTCATTTTTAATAATCAAAAACAATGTTAAAAATTTTGAAAAATCAGATAATTGAATATCTTTATATCGCTCACGTAAAATATACAAAACATTTGTAATATATAGAATATATATTTACCTAAAAATTTTTTGTAATGTAATGTCAATATATAATATAAATATAATTTATGAAATATAAGAAAGATGCATAAAATAAATAATATATAAAAATCATAATACGTAAAAATTGTTATGCGTTATTTATTAAAATTACCTGATAAATGATGGCGGATTCTTCTTCGTAATTTCTTATAACAGTTACGAGTGGATATCCACCTTGAAAGATCCAAGAATTTATTGTTTCTTCCAACGAGACTTCAAATGGAAATTTAATCGCATCTTCCGCTAGAATATTCACGAAATCGGCTACATCCGTGCTGTTATATTTCCTGATCAAATAATGAAGTAATTTTTAATACAATGAAACTCGTTCTAATTAACTTATAAATAAGAAAGAACGAATTAATTTTGTCCTATGTATCACTAATATTTTGAATTGATAATTTATCGTTTCAGATATCTTTCGCTTTTTAATCATTGTATTTATTTGAATTAAAAATATTTCATTAAATTCAACCAAATCAATTAATTCTCTTTTTTTAAATTTTTAATTCTATTGTCTAAAAATAATTTTCACCAAATGAAATAACAAAACAGAAAAATGTTGCATTATTGTAATAAAATAATATAAAATAATTTTTATAAATTAAGGAAATATTACTGCAGAAAGATAAAATTCTTTTATTCTCGATCTCCCTAATAGCAAATTCACTTTTTATAATATAATATTAAAATTGCAAAAATATAAATTTGATTAGTAAATTTTTTAACATGTTAAAACAATAAATAACTTAAGGATTATTATTTTCATTGACTTTATCAATTTTCATTGACTTGTTCAATAATTTAATTTCTGCATTCAACAAATAATATTTCTTGCTAAAATAAAAATAAAAATTTTTGATGATAAAGAAATTTGAATTAAACTTATATATAAAAGGAAATTATCTTTTATAAATTTATAATACAACAACTAAGGAAAAAACATTACAATTAATAATAAAAATCAGAATTTGAATCCGAAAAATCAAAAAATTAAAATTTCAAATCTCTTATGAGATCTCTATATTTCAAAAGTTAATTTTACAGAAATTAGCTTTTACGAAATCTATCTTTATCATTATCACAAAATCTAAGAGATAAAAATTTATTTCAATTTATTAAAAAATTATGATCCTAATTATTTTCATTTCCTCCAATTGTATTTATTTAATACAACAAAGAACAGAACAACAAAATAATATCTTTAATAGAATATTAGGAAAAAATATACATATATAAATGCAAAAGAGAATAGAGAAAAACGGCGTAAATAAGAAACTTGATAATCTCGAGGCAGGCGATTAATCACAATTAGCTTCGAGGCGATTTGATTATCGATTTAACTTGTTTTCCATCATCCTATTTAACCGTCAATTCCCATCAAATCTCCAACTAATTAAAACCCATGCCCGTTCAAGCGATATCTAATCATCAATATCGAGATCATAAAACGCGAATAATATACCCACCACCTGTTTATCAGTTTCTTGTAGTTGTTCCTAAAGTCGGTATCGTTTATCGCGCCATGCAACATGCGTATCAGGCATGCACCTACAAGAAGGAATTGAAAATGCAGAAACAATTCTCTTCGGCTATCCGCGAGTATTTTGAAAAACGTGTAGAGGAAATACAGCATATTTGGAATATTATTGATGATTAATTTAAAAAAAATCTAAAAAAAAAACCATTATCTAATTCGTACAAAGAGGGAATAACATTTATCTAAAAAAAAAAAAAAATTGAAATTTCGATGCTTCTGATTTAATTTGCAGAAGAAAATAAATCAATTTTAAAAAATTTTTCCAGCGTTGAAATTTCATAGTTATTATATATAACACTTTAAAATAAAGTTTCGTATGTTAATTTTACAAATAAAATATAATTTAAAATATAAAACGTGATACAAGATTTCAGATTTTAATGCCAAAGTAATTTGGAATATTCCAAAGGTTACATCATACAGATTAATAAATGATGAGGAGAATATCGATAATCAACTTATAAACAAAGTGATTAACCATAAATTTGTTCATTAATTTCAAAGACAACTTGATTGTAATGTAATAATGGAGAATAAATTTTATGAAAATAAAGACTAGAAACCAATATTTATCTAATATTATTTTTTTTTGTTTTAATTTTATAATTAAAATTTATAATTTTATAAAATGAAGATGCACCTTAACGAAATCCTTATCCTTTTGCGTTATTTTTTTAATTAAACCAAAATTTCAGATACTTTACAATATTGTTCAAACTTTAAAATATATTAATTCATTTAATCAATTTTTTTTCTTTTTATTAAACAGATTGACATTCCAAATATGCTGCATTTCGTCTACGATTGAATCAACCTGATTTACCTTTCGCGTGTTCGTCGTTAAAATTCTGCAACAGATGATAATTGATGTTCTCGTGAAGAGGCCTCGAGATGCTGTACCCGTCGGTGTCCATCACTTGAAACTCGACATCCACGATGAAAGAATTGCTCAAGCCCAATGACGAATCTATCTGAAAATGGAATTTTATTACAACGGTTTACGACACCAACGGTTTCCTTTTTATTCGGGTATCAATTTAATTGCTTGCCTTTGGAACGATCTCGTGCTGGATGTATATGAGAAAACTTTCGAAGATCCAAGCATCCGTTCGATTCGCATTCATAAATTCGTCGAGCCATTGCTGCCCCATTAAGGTGACTAGAATCTTCAGAGCGTTGTTCTTCGTGACTAGTGGCGATTCATCGGTCGTATAGAATATCGACTGCCTTGAAAATTTAATCGTCTTAGGTTAGATTCGGTAATTCCTTGATAGTATTAGTATTTGAAATGAGAGATAAAAATATTTGCATAAAAATGTTCGTTTCAATTCATCGTTTCTATTGTTAAGTTAAATGATCTTTGAAAGAATTATTTGATAAATATTTTAATTTTTTAATATGAATTTGAAATGATTAATAAATTTCTTCGTTAATGAAATATCTGTTTATAAAGCAATTGAGATTATATCTAAAAATTTTTATTTATAGTACATTAATTATATTTAATATTAATGTATATTAATAATCAATATGTATTAGTTATATATAAAATGAGATATGTTTGAAAAATTGATATTTGGGGTTCACTCTTTAATTTTAAATTTGTAATTTAATAAATAAGATTCAATTTATATTTAATTTGATATTTGATTTTCATACTATATATTAATGTATAACTTTTATGTTTGTTTTGATTTTTAGAATTTACTCTGAAAAAGCACTTCAAGAATATATTAACACTAATAACATAAATTTATACATTGATCAAAGAATATAATTCTTTAAATAAATATTTTTTGTTTCTGTTTGTCTCTTCTTTGTTAAATAATTATCACAAGAAATGATAATTAAAATAATTACATAAAATATTATTTGAAATAATTATTTGTAATAGATTTTTAAAAAAATTATAACATAGATTAAATTTTCAAAATATTATATCATTTCGACAAAATTGTGATTAAAAAATTACTATTAATAAAAGATTCTCTACTGTAAAAATATTACAGATATATTATGAAATAATTGCAATAAATTAAAGAGAATAAATATGTTGTAAAATATAAAAAAAATTAAAAAAAAATTAGAAATTGTTTTTTATCTTAGAACTAAATACAAAGCACAAATCTCTTACTTCAGTGCAATTAATCCCAAACTTCCGATATTCTCGTCAATCCCTGGAGGAAGGCTTACTATATCTATCTTAGGCAAGGGATAAGACGTCGAAAATACGTCGATTAAGTTAACGACAACTGTGTTCAGTTTGTCGATTAAATAAGTCTCTTGTGAGCTTCTGTTCGAATCACACCAGAACGTTGCCAAGACTTCAGTGTCTCCTACAAACGTCGCGTTTATAGTCTCGATATGACCCATTATAAAGGCCAAATTATGCGGAGACATAGGCGGAGAATCGTCAAAAATATTAACTGCCATTAAAGTATTTGTCCTTAAAAAAAAAAAAATAAAAAAAGAAAAGATAAAATTATGGAAATAAATTTGAAAACAAAATCAATTATTTCTATCTAAGAATATCTTATCTCAATTTCTAACAAATATATATTTGATTAGATACGATTAATTTGAAATAATAAATTTGTTTTTATATTAAATAAAATGCTATTTCAAATATTTAATTCAATTATGTATTTTTTAATACAGACTTAAGATTTATAAGTTTAAGCAAGATTTCTTATAAACATAAATTTATAAATAAAATTATAATTAAAAAAATGTTTTTATTTATTTTATTTTCTCCATTCCTATATCTTTGTAATAAAATTAGTTATAAAAAATAGAACTTGAATAATAATTAAATCAAATTAAAACCGAGTAATTCTCTTATTCATATATAAAAGTTCTTTTTTATTTATATGATTTCAATGCGAAAACACAAATACCAACAAGTATAATAAAATTCAAAATTTTTGATTTTATTAAATATATATAAGAAAATTCTCTCAAATATTTATTAAAAATCAAAATAATGCATATATATATATATATAATGCATTATAATTCTGTAAACAAAATTTCAACGACCAATCTTCTAGAGAGACATTGATCATAAAAAGAATAAGAAATACGAACATCAAACAAACGCATGCAAATTTCATTTCAAATTCACCTTATTTAAAATTCAATTTATCTATAAAATAAATAGTAAAGAGATAGAAATATAAAACTTTGTAATATACACAATTCGAAATAAATATTAGCGAATCTTTTTCATTAAATAAAAAAAATACAAACAAATTTTCATAATCTATTAGAGAGAGACATATATATATATAGATATATAGAGATTCAATTTAAACGTATCTTCAGGGCAGATCATTTAAAAGTATATCTTGCGAGAAGCATAGCATGAATTACTTACACATCCCTTAAAGTCCTGAGGGGCATATTTGAGAGGACTATCATTTCTTTGGAACGTGTTATGGATACCGAGAAAACTGACTTGTGCACGGTATCGTCGAAAACTGGGAAAAGACATCGAGCACCGGAGTGTTTCAATTTCGTCCCCATTAACCATCTGCTGTGAAAACGTGGACTGTTAATAAAAATTTCCATGACATGAATTTTTTTCTTGCAAATCTATCGGAATAATAAAGCAATTTTAGATATATGGATTAAATAAGAATGTTTACATGTATATAGAAACTTAAATATTTCATATTATTGTAATTGATACCGAAATATTTTTTGACTTCTTAGCTATTCCATCGATTTTTATTTCATAATTATTTTCAAATAATTTATCAAATGTAATATGTTTTAACTCGCTAAATAATGTCGTGTGTTAAAAGCTCAATTGAAATTGCAAAGAATCATTTATTACAAGCTTTTAAAACAAAATTAAATCATGATGATTGAAAGTAATTGAAAGTAAAAAATTAAATAGACGATATGCAGCTTTGAAAACAAATTTTATATTAATTTTTATTAATTGCAATCTTTCTCTTTAAGAATATAAGTTAAAAAAAAATTAAGCAAAAATTTTTAATTAAAAGGAAAAATAAAAATTTTTCTCGATCGTAAAAAAAAAAATAAACCTCGCAAATTCTACTTATATCGATTAAAAATATTTACAAATAAATATTATTTTTATATTACATAAAATTATGTTCATAAAATAGTATTGCTTATGAGATCATCTTAATACTTAAAATCTATATATTTTAGATAACAGAAATTTCATAATAAGAAAAAAAGACATCTTTATATTTTCAATAAATCAATAAATCAAATAAATTTTATTAACTATTATAATAACAATTTACACGTTCCTGCTTTTTGTTCTAGAGACGATGAATTTTGTTTAAATGCAACCCATCATTAGCATAACACCATTTGGTAAATACCAGGCTTTAGACCAATCTCGACTGTTTATTTTAAAAGCCGGGATATCCATTAAACGTGTATTTCTGCTAAACATTTGCAGAAATGGTCATAACGTTACAGAATATTGCCACGGACCAAATGCTCTCAAATGAAATCATATTTCGCGAGCATTCGTGTCGATCCATAGTATTGTTATTTCATACCTATCTATTTGTCCCTATTGAATATAAAGGAATTTTCTTTATACCGATATAGGATCTGGAAACACGCAAATATTTGTAATCATTCGCGATTGTTTGTTGCCCATGAGCACTTTGCACCCCCACACAGGCAAATATACACACAAATACATATATATATATATATAGCCAATAGATAATCACGGTCGATATATCTCTTTCGTTCGCTTTGGAAAAAGATTTCTTTTCAAAGATTGCAGCAGACGAGATAAACGAGCCATTGGACGATTAATTTTTTCTTCTTCTTTTTTTTTATTTTTATTTTTTTTTTTAATTAGAAAATTAAGAAAAGAACGCGAAGTGATTAAATTACTATTTGCGTATTTTTAACGTAGAAAATCGTTAAATCGTTCGCTGAAAATATTATTCCACTGAAATTGAGTTATTTAAGTGTTTTCACGATATGGAAAGTATTAAGAAACAAAGATTAATTACGATGCAAGTTACGATGCAAAAAGTTGTTAAAAAAGAAGTATTAAATTTCTATATTATAAAAAATTAAGAAGAAATGAATGAAAAAATGAGTAAAATTATTATTATTAAAATGTTTTATTTTAATGTTTTGATTAATATTGAGATATTTTTGTTTCTTTCATTTGTTAACAATTTATTCAGAAAAAATATAATAAATGTAGAAAAATAATCAATGCTTTAGAAATTCGAAAAAAAATATCTTTAAATTATTTAAAAAGTTTCTATTTTTCTAATCGTCGTGAAAATGAATCTAGATTTTAATTCAATCTCAATTTTTTTTTACAAAAAAAATTACAAAACTATAAAAAAATATTAAGAAATAAAAAATATTAATTTAATAGTAAGATTTATTTATTAAATTATACGCGATCGAAAACGTACAAAAATAAAATTGATTTATTGTATCTTTAATTGTTTATGAATAAATTAATGAAATAATAAATTTTAAATTTATTTCGATCGATTATCAAAGATATACGACTATATTACCCTATACACAAGTTTCATATCAATAAACACGATGTATTGACAAACCTATTGTAAACCTTATTCCCTTTAGAGACTGACTTCTCCATTGATGAACTCCCAACCCTTTGATGAACTAAGTAATCATCGATCCAAGAAGGATTTTCAAAGGAAGGGGAGAGTTATTGATTAATTAATCTATTCTTCGATCATTTTTGAATGAATGTTAAAATTTAAAATTTTAAAAAGCTTCAATTTAAAATCATCAAGCTTTCCTAATTTGCAATATTCAACAAAATTTTAAAAATAAACTAGTTTCAACACTCGATTTACAATTAATAAAAGAGAAATAAAAATGTCTAAGAATAGCAAAAAAAAAGTAATAAATATATAGAAAATAATAATAAAAAATATTTACCTCTCTTCGCCAGATGTGCTATAATTTGCGATGAAGAATACATTTTCGTCGATTAACGCCTCGTATTCGATCTCAAATGAATAAACTCCTTGATATATCCGAGTTTTTAATTGAATTGTGTGAACTTCTTTATCCTCGTCTATATTGTATTCTGCAATCTGTATTTCATTCGATGAGACACTTTTGAAAGAGTCATCAGATGTCATCATGGATTCATATTGTTTATCATCCACGTTCGAATTTTTAATTTTATCGATATTGGAAACAGAGGCGTAATTTAACGAGGAAAGCTTGGTTTTTTCAATGGAGGACACGTTTTTCGATAGATGCTCAATATTTTTCTCGTACAGAATCGTTTCGTTTTCCGTCAAGCTTACCAAGACGTCATTTTCTATGGAATATACACTACTACCTGGAAATAAATTGAATACAGAATGATTCATATGATGTGATCACTTCAAATAATTTGTAACTATTTAAGGAAAGAAATATTTCGTGCAAAAGTTGTGTGATATAGAAGGGAATACAATTATTAATTTTTTTGCAAATGAAATATATAAAAGGTCATATGAAGAGATCAATTTTGTCTTTTAAATGGAATCATGTAATTGAAAAGAACAATGCAAAACAAGTGACATGTATGTACTTCAATTTCAACTTTTTATTAGTTTTTATTATTTCAAATTTTCAATCATTCCTTCTTGTAGTATAATAACATGAATTTTTGTTTTGTTCAATAGAAAAAAAAGCTTAAAACAAATATGATTTTTATGAGTATATAAAATTTTTTTTTAAAGTTATGAAAATATGGCATGTATCTATTTTTCATTAAGCATTGGTCAAGAATTGCAGATTATTGCCTATAAAAAGATTATTAAATCATTTATGGTAAAAAATTATTACATAGGAAATATTTTAATTTAAATTTTGTAAAACCTATCATATGAATTCTTTTATTTATCTTTGCTTTCTTTACATAAATAAATAAAAATTACATAAATTTACACAATAAATTTTATAACACAAAATTTTTGTAATATAAAATTAAAAAACTAATTAATATTTTTATTATAAGTGACTTAATAATTTTTAAAAAAATACATGATTCTATTTAAATTACCTTTAATTTTCCATTTCATTTTCCAATACAAAAGATTCTCTTAAAAAATGCAATTCAGATATGCGAAATAAGAGATTTCTCTAAAACTAACATAGATTGACTATTATACAATATATCCCATCAAAGTTATATTTTTAATAATTTTAACTTAAAACAAAGTTGCACTTCACACATTACCTATATCTTCATTTCCAAAAAAATTAATAATACTGAATTACATTGAATTACTGCATTTTTTCATATATAATTACTTACTGCATTTTTTTATATATCAACAAATAACAATTTAGAATTCATTTGAAGCAATCGTATTACATGCATGTTGTATTATAAAAAATTGTAACTGTAAAAAAAAGATTGCAACATATCACTGCAATTACAATTATAACAAATAAAATTAATTACCAGACATCGCGTTGTCATTAACAACATCATTGGGTCTTCTTCTTCGTCTTTTTCTCGTCGTCTTTTTTCCTAAATCCAACGATGATAATTTATATCTCGTCACCGTAATGTTCTTCGCATTTAGAGAGAATTTATTTAAACCCGCTGTATCGTTTACGAGAAAATCGATAACCATCCGGCCCATTACCCTTGATGGACCGTTAATATCGATAATCGGTGTTAATTCGAGACGATATTTCAAGGGATGAATGAAAGGTGAAACCGCATTTTCACCGACGCCCTCAGTATCCTCGATTTCATCGTTGAGCAAATCTAGAGTCGTGAAAGGCTAACAAATACAGATTTTGTTATATTTAAGTTAAGAAATTGGAAATTGGAATTTCTCGACCTATACATCGTTCAGATAATTATTCATTTAAATGTATTGCATAGGCGTAGCTAAAATGGAGCAAATAGACTACTTGTCTTTTCTCGTTGTATTTTTTAAAAATTTCGTATATTTGTGTGATATAAATATAAATTAAAATATTATATTTTTTAATTCAATATTCAATAAAAAATTAAAAGTTGAAAAATTGTTCGATTTTCACTTTATTTTGATTATATTTAAATATTAATATCTGTAATAAAAGAAATAAAAAAAGTTAAAATTTGCTCCAATATTTTTATTTTTTCTTATAAAATATTGGCCTTTGCTGGACAGAGCACAAAATATTATTCCGTTGTTATTTTATATTTTTAAGAGTGCATTTTATTGTTTATATATCATATTTTCTCTTATTTATCGATATTAATAAAACGTATTTACTGTTTGATGAAAAATAAAATAGTGACATATCCTGCACGTGAAATACGATTCGTTAATCGCATTTAGTTCAATCAATATTCAACGATACGAATAGCATATAATTATCGAGAAACTATAATTAAATAAGTACGCTTTGATTACTCACATGAATTAGAAAATTAATAATTAAAATTAATAACTAATTCGTAATAATCACAAATCAAAGGGACTAATATTATTTTTTATATTATATTCATTAAATATACTGTGGATTTTTATGCAGCTAATATATACAGCTATAAATATATTCAAATATTCAATTAATATATAATAAATGTAACATATTATTTAAATTATACGAAAAATATCAATAATTTTATTATGTATATTTATTTATTATAATTCATTATTATAATATTATACATATAATACATTATTATAATATTATAATGTATATTTATTATAATAATATATTAATTATTATAATTATGATATATTTTCAATATTAGTTTTTTGATCTATTACTTTATCTGAAAAAGTTAAGTTAAAAAATTGTTCGTCATAAAATATAATGGAATATTATATTCATTCATATTATATTCTGTATTCTGATTCTTCTATATGTCCATAATTTTGCAATATTATGTCACATTAGAAAAATATATAACATATTCATTTTGCTTGTTTTATAGAAATGATATACAACAAAGCAGAAATAATTCTACATGAAAAAATAAATCAAAAATATACATAGAATAAAATTTTTTCATTCAAAGTTTCGTTTTTCAATGAATAAAATAAAATAATAAGCAAATCAAATAATAAGCATAAGTGAAATTTAAAAATTAAATTTGAAAATTAAATTTCTTGATCAGAATAAATTATCAACAGAAGATTATTTAGTATTCGAAAAAATCAAATTTGAAAATTTATCGATTATTGTTTCAATTTCGATTTTTTCAAAAACAAAAATTTAAATGATAAAATTTATTTGTTTATTTTATATAGAGTAAAAATAATCATAATCACGATAATTAATTCGTATTTAATCAAGAAATAATCAATTCTTCAAGTTACTTAAGAATTTATTATTATTTATTTGAAAAAAAACCCTCAAATAAAATAATTTCATTTTATATTTTCGACTTATTTTTTTTTCACGTATAATTACCATATCACCAGTTACAGGACACTTTATAAAATATGCAAATTATATGTAATATGCAAGATATACCTCTGCATAAAAATCCGTAATTTATATGCTTATGTTTAAACGAACAGATGTCACTAATGTCCTCGTAATATATAGTAAAAAATAGTATATAGGAGACCAAAGTATTAAAATATAAATATTTCAATTACACATTTTCAAAAACAGCTGCAATAAATCTTGAATTATTTACAATGTTTTCCAAGTTCAACAATGAATTAATGGATTAATATTATGATTTCTTTTTTTCCCATGTTACTTACTTTTTTCTTGGGTAACGAATTGATGTACCATCCAAGAAATCCTGCGGCAACGACACCGATAATAAAAACTACGACGATCCCCGCTATCTTTGTGTACGATAAAAACCAACCATCGCCTCTTTTACACTCGATGTCATCGCTAGTCATAAATTCCACGGGAGCGCCACTAAATTGTGGCATAATTTGAGCTACAAGAAATATTTGAAAAGTAGGTATAAATTCTCGCAAAAATACCATAGCGCATATCGAGAAGATTTGAAAAAAAAGAAATCGATAAAAGAAGTTTTAAAATAGTAGAGGACGTATTTTATCTTTAATATACTTAAAATTGATTAATCTTTAACTTGTAATGGAAAAGGAAAGAAATTCCGGTATGAATAAATCTCATTTACAATCATAGATTCAAACCTGGGAAAAATTTATTTCAAGTAATAATTTAAAATAATTTCAAATAATAATTAATTAGTATCCTACTATATTACTATTACTATTACAGCATATTAATTACTATAATTATAATAATATTATATCAAGAAACCAACAAATGATTATTTTCATTAAAATCAAATAACGAGCAATAAAATAATAAATGAAGCAAGTGACAAATGAAATAAAGTAACGAATAAATCGTTTGATTACATTATTTTCCTTTTTGTACGAAATACTTCATCGAATATTTATACTCTTCACAAATGACATTGAAAAAAAATAATTTAAAAACATTCAAATCAAAACAAATATACATCCTTCGAAATATTCTTCCATAGAAATCCATAGAAACGTTCCGCTTCGAATTTTCGTTTATCGGTCAAAAGTCATCCGATAAATCGATATTCAGAAATAACGTTGACAGTTCGAAACGACGTTGTCATAATCGTGACGAATTCGCGTTATCATAACATTCGGGGAGGACATGAAGCGTCATTGCTGAAATTGACTTCTGCATACGCATCCCATAAGGTAGTCCGATTGTGCACGCTCGTAAATCGAGAAACGTACCTTGGCTTTCAAGGTCCGCCGTATATATCCACGTTAACTGGTCAGCATAATCGTTTACCAAACTGACAAAGCTATAGTTTTTTTCTTTATATATGTTAACGATAAGAAGAATTTTATTTGTCGTGAGAAATAGAGATTTTTTTAAATAATTGTTGTAATATTTTATAGAATGATATTAAATATGTATATTAATATTCATAAAATTGGTATATTGGATTGCATATATCTTTAGAATTGTAGTTGTACACTTGAACATTATTAGGCTAAGTTATATTACAACTACAAAGTTTATGGATCAAATGTTTTTAAAATGTTTTAAATAATGTAAAGTTGTTTATATAAAATTTGTTCTAATTAATACAATCTTATGGAGAAAAATATTTTTTAAATTTTCTTTTACTTTACTATAATCATATAATTTCATTTTTATATATTTAGAGATGTATTTAAAGATCAAGTTATGTCAATTATTTCCTTTAATATTTAAGAAATTATATTCAGTCATTTATACATGTATTCATATTTAAGAGAAGTTGAGGCACAGATTGGATGTTGCATAAAGATGAGCAAAAATTAATTTACCATTCAAATGTTATTTAAATATTTGTGTCTAAGGAATGTCACAGTTAAATTGTACATAAAAATAGCTAATTTACATCTTTTAAGAATAAATCAAATCATCAAATGAATTGAATAACATTTTATAGAATCTTTTAAGAAACAAAGATATTTTCTAATAAAATGAATTTTTTTAATAAATTTATTTTACATATAAGTTTCGTTACATTAAAAAAATAAAATATGTATAAAAGATTCTGTTGCATCTTATTATTTATAAATAAAATATTGTAATTGATATTCAATAATTCATTATTAGAAATTAATCTATAATAAAGTACATTGACTCGCAATTTCATTAATATATCATATTGTTTCATTAATATCATAATATTCAATTCTCAAGAATGTGAGTATATATCATAACATTGTTGATGCACGTGTTCAACTATTAATCAATATATATGTGCATGTACAATCCTGAATACTATGAATGATTATTGGCCTGTATAATGATCATATAATGCCTCATGATTACGTTTCAATATTTCAAATAACATAATCTTTGAATTACGAATCGAATTGTAAATTGACATAACTAACGATTTGTAATTAAATTCTCGATAAATATTAAATTTTATATTATTTGAAAATGATAAATTTATTTATATGATAAAATAAATAATATTATACTTTGTTATTATTATTATTATCGCACTTCATTTGCCAATTTACTTAGCAGATAAAAAAATTTTTTCATAATGCAATATTGATCGAATTTTTTTCCAAGTTAAAACTTTCAAAATTTGTCAAAATGGCGATTTCCAGATTTTTTATTATTGCAATTATATTAATGCTAAAATTATTCTTAATTTTTATTAGTAATTTTAACAGATAAAAATATTAATTTTCATTATTCCATTTTAATTCTATTATTTATTTATAATAAATTACTTATAATATATTTTGATTTAAAAAAACGAATGTTAAATTAAAAATTTTATTTCTTACGCAATCATACAATTCATATTCGTAAGAAATGAAGATGAAAATACATAACTAATAAGAAACTTCAAAATAATTGGCAACAAATTTTACATAATCAAATATTATGCTGAGTACCTTATCATGCATGTACTTAATCAATTATATACAGTGATACATTAGTCACACAAGATTAATTCGATTTTTTTGCATAAAGTGCTTGATGCATGTTTAATATTTGTATGAAATTCACTCAATACTAAGTTATTGAACAATTTTCGTTTTCTAAACTATGCAGTAAATGTATCACATGACCTAGTGCTAATCATTACGAGCAGCCATAAATCAAATTCGCGATTACTAATATCACTATACTTAATATACTTCCTTTAGTTCGTTTCTACAGCTAATATTTTATTTTCTTAATCCTAATTTACAGATATAATCCACCATAAAATATTATAATATCGATCGATCCATGCTTTCATATTCGAAATTTTAATATTCTGTATTCATTTGGATGATACATAAGATATTAATATGTATATATACAATATATTTATAGGATATCTTTGAAAGATTGATTTTAATTCAATTGAAGTTTATTTATCAAATTTTATCTAATAAAAATTATTTATTTTAATTAATTATTCTAACTATTCTAAGTTTCAATATTTTTATATATTTTTGCATTATCAATTTTTATATTTATTTTCATCTCTAACATTAATTTTTCCACGAATATATTAATTTTTTCTAATTATCTAATTAGTTCAAGTCAAATCTATAAATATTTAAATCTATAAATATTAAAAAATAAATATTAGGAATATAATTTAAAATGTTATTTTTAATTTTAAATTTCAACAAAAATAAAAATTTATCGTATAAGAAACATAATTCATAGATTATAAGCAGAAATTTTGTGAGGAAAGAAATGTGTACTTTCGTATGACATTGAATAACTTCAACCAAAGATACATCAACAGCGATAACGCACGCGACATGGCTGAAGGTTACTACAGTGCTTCACAGGATTACGTATGCGAATAGGATGTATAGTTTTTCATGGCATATATATGCTATGAGATTGTGTTACATGTTATGTCACATAGTACGTGATCAATCTCTAAACAAACGAAACTCAAAATCTCTCCAATTCACGTTCATCTAGTTGTTTACATCGATATTTAATAAACTTTAACAAGGATAACGTTGAGAATGGCAAAACTATGAGAATCGTATTGAAGTTAGTTTAAATGAACTATATTTCTTCTACATAAACTCTGTAGACTTAAATTTCACGAAGAAGATTTGAATTAATAGAATCTCAATTAGTTGATGCTTATATTATTACAATAATTGTAATTATTTCTTTAAGTGAAAACTATGATATTTTAATAATCTTAAAATAAAAAAAAAAGAAATAATTTAATTTTAACTTTATTTTATTTTAATTTAATTAAATATTGTATGTAATTAAATTTGAAAAAAGAATTTATTTTTTTTTTTTTTAATTTTTACAGTAACTTTTCACGGCACATTCAATTTTACTTTCAAAATATCATTTTAAATTTGAAAATATTTTAATAAAGAGATTTTGTGGAGATTACATTAGATATTAAAGTATTTTGATATCGAGTACACAGGAAAATTCTTCCACTCGCATATACATGTAACGCAGAGATCATCACAAGTACTTACAAATTATGCCATAATAACTACGATCGTACGTTTCCTCTGAAGATTATATACGATTCGTATTATGTACTATGAATCTGGTTTCTTCCACTGATTCATGATTATATACAATTCGTATTATGTATCACAAATCTAATTTCTTCCACTAATTCATAATTTTTTTCATACATACACACTTTTTGTACAAAGAAGAATCAAAATTAATTTTGGTAAAAAATGAAAAGAATAATAGGAGAAAAAAAGAAGCGATTTTTAATGATAGTTACTATAGGCACTGGTATTAGTTACGCTTCAGAGACACGAAAAGCAATATACTTAAGCAATCAAAACGTAAAAAAGTAGTAACTAAATTGTTCACGAGTTTGACTAATGTTTATGTTTGATTGATTCTACTTCAAGAAACCATTTATTTTTATGGATATTTATGAATCCATAAATAATAAAAAAAACAAACAAAATATAATAAAAATAATAATTTTATAATATACAAAAAGTGATTAATTTTGATTGTGAAAATATTTAATGCTTTGTATGAGAAAAGAAAACAAAAATATATGTACAGTGTTGTGAACCAAGAATTTCTTAAAAAAATAACTTGAAGTCAAAGCTCATATATTATTGTATGTACACAGAATGTTCTAGCTAAAAATCATTTAAATATTTTGTTTTTTAATAACACAAAAAATATTTATGATATTTAAATAATTTTGAAAGAAAAATAATAGAAAAGAAAAAGTTTTTTGTATTATAAATAGGTATATTTCTTCTTTAAAAAAAATATCAATGAGTTTGAAAAAAAATTGATGCAATAATTAACTGATTTTAGTTTCCTTTAGTTGAGACATCCTGTATATAAAAATTCTTTATTCAATTTTCCTTTTATTTTTACTTTTTACTTAAAAAATGAAATTAATTATAAACCTAATATATTATATATTATTTAGTTGTAAAATATAAATAATAAGTTATCAACATAATATTTTGTGAAATAATAAATTTAAAAATAACGTTTAATACTTCATGTAATGAATATATATTTTATGAAAAAGAATTTCTTAATATATTACATTATTTAAATTCTCAATAAAATTTGCATGCATTTCTTATAAAAAAAATTTATAATTATTATAAGATTTAATAGATCTCTATTATTAGTTAATTTGAAAATTTATGGAACGATAAATATTGAAGAAAAAAAAACTAAATTAACAGTCATGTTTGAATATATATTCAAGAATTAAAGAAATATTGCAAGCCATAAATATTTGTGTCAAAATAAATGTGATGTTTCATTTGGTTCAAATAACTTTTCAAGGTTGTTATACTTTTATCATTTTATTAATATATTTATTTTTTTTTTTGTTCCCATCCATTGTTACAAATTTTTTACTCGTTAAAAAAACAATCGTTTCGTGCTTGTTACATGAGATCATGAAAATATAAAGAGATCATTGAAAGATAAAATGCAATCATCGTTATTACATTCTTAACTACTTGATGATAGGATTTAATAGCTACCTATAAAATAGATATTCTGGTAACTATACACATTCCTTGAATAGCAATAAAAGAATTTCAACGATACTTTGTTAATAATTATAATTGAACAGTGATTTAAAATATTTACTACTTCGTATTCAAAATTACAAGTAATAATAATAATATAAAAGAAATGATCATAATAATAATATAAAAGAAATGATCATAACATACAATTTTACACATTACTCTTTAATTAATAATTATCCATTCAAAAAATAATTTTCGCTCGTATTAAAACGTGATAAAAATAAATAAATAACATCGAAATAAATAATCCAATAAATACAGATACCATTCGTATTAAATTTTCGTAAAAACTTTAGTTTGAAATCTAATTCTTCATCGTCTTCATCGATACATAATAAATAAATATAAATAAGTAACGTACAAATTAATGGATATAAATGAACAGATATAAGAAATGAAAAGAGTTAAAAAAAAAAAAAGAAAACAAAATCACAATTCACTCACAATTTCTGCGTCCATAATCCTGCCAACTGGAAATGGATCCTCGGCTCATGTGAACAACTTCCGGTTTCCTCGGTCTCGAAACCAACGAACGATATCGTTACACGTGAAAACAAATCGCGGACGGAAGAAAGCGGGAGGAACCGTGGCGAAAAAAGGAGTCGTCCCGAAAAGCAAGATTAAAATTATATGCCCACGATGGCGCGCTTCGTTCGTACAGGTGCAACGCAATTAGTAGTTCTAGCTACAGTGCAACACGCGAATACTGGCCAGAACTCTTCGAATGCACGTTGTACCCCCACTTTTTTCAATCATTGCCTTCGCATTGTTCTTCATTCTTTCTACACCGCGTGTAATTCTTCGTTTTTTTTTTTTCTTTTCGTTGTTCCATCATCGTCCAAGTTGAGCTGAAGTTTGAAGTTAAACTAGAAAATAAATTTATTGATTTATCGATAATAATTGCGGTTCTATTAGGATATATGCGTATTTATCAAATCTATTCGAAGGAAAATTCAATGAGATCTACAAACAAATTGCACCAATAGTTACTTCTTGACAAGTGGTATATGCGTGAAATGAAATAATTGGTCTTTCCCATTTGATTCTATTTCTGTTTCGCTTCATCTAACGAAGCGAACTTAAATTGCTTATAACTTGATAAAATAAACATCAAATTGACATTTCTTCGTATATATCAATTTCTACGTTTCGTTTCAATTTCTAAAATCTGAAAGATGTTTCCTTAAACATTGTGCATGTAAAATTAAAAATTTTAGAAAATCGAAAAATTAAACAACTTATAAATAACAAAAAAGGATAATTATTTATATAAAATACTTAAAAAATATATATATACATCCTCCGTTTTACATAACAATTTTAGCAAATATATTTCAAGAAAATGTTATCTTAAAAATTAATCATCGTCAACCTAAAGAGGAAGCACTATATAACTATTTGCATGACATTCTCATTACTATCATTAATAACTTTAATTTTAACAAATTCGAAAACAACGAAACGAACGTTGTTGTGTAACACAATTGCACATAATTGTTTTATTTTGCTCAATACAATTTATTTGGGGCGTCGCAAATATCCAAAAGGGAGGGCATGATTTCGTACACACACGGTACGCACGCAACACGGTTAAAGGGAATTAGAATGATCGTCGTTGCTCCAGATCATACGACGTGAATCCGAATGAAAGGAGGTCTCTCCCTCGCTCGACCCACCCTCAAAGTCGGAGGAGACAAGTTGACGAGTGGCACGGGTTGAAGTTGAGGTCGAAGAAGAAAAAAACGCGATACACAAAACCTCTCTCTCTCTCTCTCTCTCTCTCTCTTTCTCTTTCTTTCTATCAATTCCAATTGACACCAAATCGGAAACGAACTCGTCGGTTGCCCAGAGGCCGCTGAATTGGCCGCTTTTCAAACATTAAACGAATACACAATGGGTTCCTGGTTGCAGAAACGGTACCAGACTCGGATAGATGCCACAGAGTAGGCTCGTGGCATCTCAATTTCCATTGATGCTTTCGGGATTGGCCATTCACGTTACGCCTCTCCGTCCGTCACCGACGGGTGCAGGCGTGATTAGGCCCTTTTGTGACGTTTGCCCGATGGAATTGGATAATGGACGATCCACCGATTACGCGGCTAAGTGGATCTAAGCGCTTTGAACATCGTGCTTCGGACACCGATCCACGGGGGGGAGGGAGGGATGATCTTCCTTCCATCACGTGGTCGTCCACGTTTTCTCTCTATTCTCTGTTGCAATTTCTTTTCCTTTTCTTTTTTTTTTTTTTTTTTTTTTTATCTTTTTTGTACCTTTTCTTCGCACAATCCAACCAGGCCTGATCCTGGTTCGAAGAAGAACGGAATGTTGGACGACAGTTGGCCAACGACTACATTCGGACCTGGTCTTTCGGTGGCATTGTGACACGGATATTGGGATCGCGGTATCAAGGTCAAACGTCAACAAGCCTTGGTTGGCTACGGGTAGAAGTGGGTGATATTCGAAAATACGCGAATTGCATCGGTTAGATCGTTGTCCACCGTATGCAAGTAAGGACGTGTTGGATAAGGATCGCGAAGTAAGTGTTCGAATTCGATAGAGGCAGATCCCGTTCGATTGATTGAGATCGATGCTTGATAACTCGTGGTGCCCGATAATAAGAGATAAAGTGGGAAGAAGATCTTTATGTGTTTATGGAAAATTTTTAAATTGTAGTAACTCCGAAGTGTTTCGTTTCATCGATGTAAAAATTATTTGTATTTAACGTTATTTTTTCACGCGAATCATCCAGTTATATTATCTTTCACGATTCATTCCCGTTGAATAATCGTTTCGACTTACTCCACAGGAGAACTATGAGGTGGATAGCAGCTATCACTGGGTTCTTCCTGATATTCATTTTTCCACAGGATACCAAAGCTTTTTCTAGTGTAAGTAATTTTATTATTAATATAATTTCTTGTTTGTGTGTGTGCAATAAAATAACGATTTTTATTATATTTTATTAGATTTATTCATGTAATAAATAAAAATAAATTTTAGATATTATAAAACTTTTGGAAAATAATTATAATTTGAAATAATATATATATTTATGTTTATTGACTTTCTTTAAAATTAAATTCGTTTTTTTTTTTTGTTTCACTAATCATTTGGAATACATACACTATTTCCATGATTGAAATTTTCGGTAGGAAAAATTATTTTCTTCGTATAGAACGTCATTCATAATATTGATATATATTAATTGTTTGAAAAATATATATCTAATTCCAATCTACGTATTTCAATAATACAAGGAAAAGATATCGCGATAAATTTCGAGATCGAGAAATAGAAAATAATTTACAGATACCATGGAAATCAAAACGAAGCATAGATCTGAACGACGTGTATCTGTCGAAAGCAAGCCAGCGCAGATTGCCAACGGAAGTGGTGCCGACCAGCTACCACCTGGAACTTCAACCTTTTATTGGGAACGATAAATTCAAAGGTCGAATTAAGATCAATGTCACTTGGACAGATACCAGCGACACAATTATTTTAAATGCTCACCCACATCTTGACATCTCGGGGTATAATGTTAGGGCCACGGAGATGTCGTTGGAGGAAAGGTAAATTTACTGAATGAATGAATAGCAAACGGTAAACTTAAAGTTGAAAAACAAGAATTAATTTAACTTTGAATAAAACTTTAAATGATTGGTTAATTAATATGATAGAAAACAAGTTATGATTATATATAAAATAATAATTCTAGAAATGAATCATTTTTTTTTTTAAATTGAATTATATTTATTATTATATATTATTTATATTTCATGCAATAATTTTGAAATAGATATTTCGAAAAGTTTTTAAAAAGATAAAAATATAAATTATTACATCTTATTGATTCAAATTTATATTCTCTATTGGATAATTTTTATTAATATACGAATATAATTGATGTTTAATTTTTTTTAATAATGATAATTTTATATTAATTATTTATAGTATATATTATTAAAGAGAATTTTCCTTTGTGGAGCGAATTTAATTAGAGAAATTTAAATTTGGAACATGACAGAATACGAATAAGATATGTTAATAGTAATATCAGAATAATATATTTATTAAAAAATGTCCAATTTTGTAAAATATTATTATGTATTTAAAATAATATTATGTATTTAAAATATTATTATGTATTTAAAATAATAATATTAAAAAATATATAAATAAGATTAAATAATATAGGAGATTTTTAGGAGAATCGAATTTTTTTTTTAAGATTTAATTACATCTTTTATTAATTGAAGAAAATATAGAGTCTTTTGCTCGTGATGTAATATATTGAACGAATTTTAAATTAACAGTGCTCAATAAAAATTGCAATACTTTTCTCTAAAATAAAAAATTAAAAAGTAATGTTTAATAATTAAATGAATTCAGTCTAAAGATAATTAGTGAAAATACATATTTTGGATAGAAATCATTGGAAATTTTTTAATTAATATACTCTAAAAATTTAATAAAAAAATTTATCAAAATACATATATACTTTTTTTACTTTATTTGACTTTTATATTTCACGAAGATGAAATTGTTATTAAGAAATTTTCAGTCACAAATTAATAAAATAGAAGAAATGAAATACGACTTAATTAAATAAAATTCTACTTACAAATACTAAAAACTAAAATTAATAATTATTACATTACATTATTAATATCAAGTATATGAAATATATCAAAAAAAAGTAAAAAAGTATATGCTATCAATAAATAATAATATTAAAAAATATTATTTTCTTAAATAAATCTTTAATACATAATTTTTCGAAAGAATTATATACAATCAAATTTAATTCGTGTAATAATTATATAAATTAAATTATATTATATACGTAATATAATTTTATATTTAATATAAACTAATTTAATTCCAAATAATTAACTAATTTTATCACTATTTAATTATCATTATTTAATTATCACTATTATTACTATTTTTGGTTGTTTAAATTATCTCTCAAAACTAATATCTGTTTATTAAAAAAAAAAAAGGGAGAAAGGTTTGCCACTGATGGATGTGAACGTTGCGAGAATCACTCGTCCTAATTCATGGCCATCTTCTTACGCAATTCATCTCCAGCAGATGCTAAAAAAGGGAAGTAGCTGCGAAGTAGATCTCATTTTCACCGGAAACCTTACCACCGATGAGAGTAGCGGTTTCTTCAAAAACGAATACATCGACGCCAATGGAAAGAAACAGTAATTGCAATGTTTTACACGTAATCTAAGAGAAAAGGAATCTCGCAACGTGCGTAATATATTTTCTTTTCCAGTCCCTTTGTGGCTACCAATCTCAGATTGGATAGCGCGCAAACTGTCTTCCCTTGTATGGATGAACCTCCTTACAAAGCGACCTTCAAACTGAGCGTCTTACGCCCGAAAAATATGATCGCCCTTTCGAACACACCTCTCGAGAGCAGTACGGAAATGTAAGTAATTTGTATCATAATATTCTCTTTTCCTCCATCCTAATTATTTAATCTTTTGCGAATGAATAAATTTGTTTAATGGCAAGTTGAGGATATTTTTTTATACGAGACGAAATTATAAATTAAAAAATATTTCAAATAAGGAAAAATATTGAATTAAGAAAATTCATTTTAAAAATTGAACATTGTATTAAAAGTTGATTTAATTTTAATATTGTAACTTTGATATCGATGATATTCACCCGCAAA